GAAAATCTCACCTGTAAACTTTACTTTTTATGATTTATACCCCGAATTTGGTTTTGAACATACCGAACAGGGCTTAGACTTTAACACCTAATTATCCTGGAGTTCCAGGACTATTTTCGGGCAAGCCAAGGGCTAGAGGTTCCCAAACCGCGCTATGTATCACGTGTGTGCAATGCTTTAGTTGTTGGATATAACGTTAACACTGAAACATTTGAAAATATTTAAAGTAAGCTTGTAAAAAATGCACGCTTTATAAATAAATGCGTACACAATTATTAGGGTGATTTATTAAAAGCGTGCACGATGTGTCCACAAATCCAAAAATCATGGATAATATTAGCTTTTACATCGGATTTGGAACATGCATGAGGCTTTTACTAGGCGTTCTAATTCTCCACGAAAAGGGTAAAACATATACTAGTAGCTAAATAATACATACGTTAAGAAGATAAAAGGACTTAACATATTCCTGTGAAAACGAAATCGTCCATAAAGTAAACTAGAAGGACAAAGACGCTACTTAGAATCAATGAATTCAAAAAAGGGAGAATTCTTACTTTCTCAAAGGACATGTGAAGTCAAGTCATATAAAGTTTATTAAGGGAAATATAGGCAAACGTCTTTGATCTCCCTATCGGTGCACAGTAGTTAAGAAATGCATCGGCAAAGCCGAACATTCAAAAGAAGGTCATTTACGTAATGATAGGTGACTACTCACTTGTTCCAAGTAATATGATCAGATGGGGTGATGTCAGTTAACACGAGCCAGCAGGTGTAACTGAGCAAAAAGAACAGATAGTGAAAGAACACCTAAGGGATGGTTCAGAATTCAAAAAATGGAATGTAGTTTATGGTTTTTTAGGAGAAAAACTGTCTCTCGTTGGAGAAAGTACGTGAAAAATATGCCTGGATGAAGCTGTCAATGTTGGCGGCAGGCTAGGGGGTCCACCGCGACTTATATCTTGATCGGAACTGCCATACGGGGGAGAGACTGCAGAGGCACGAGAACATCCCGAAAAAATCGGAGTTGCGACCACGATACGCCTTTGTCAATTTTTTTTTATTTTGCATGTGATGAACGGTTAGCTGTAATGCCATTAGAGCATTCGATAATACACTACCCTGCTACCATGGGCTTATTTTGGCCTTCTCTAGCCTTGAGTACCAATTCCATGTTTCTTATTTATTCAGTATATATAAGTGACAGAAAAGTCCCTAGAAAAAAAGTATTTGCAGGGAAATGCTTGCAAACCATGACTATGTTACAGAGCGATAGTAAATAAATATATAGAGAAATTTTATATTTTTTATTTTAGGCCTGAATGGCCTTATCATTACGAACCCCGTGCTCTGGTAGAAGTAAAATATATCAGGATTGATGTATATCAAATATATGGCCAGCAGTTGATGTTTCATCTTGTCGTCTTTTAAATGTCTCAATGCTTTCAACAAGAACAACCGACGAAGGAAGTTTGTCCTTGTCTTCAATCCCCCAATGGGAAAAGAATTGGCCCGCACTTCAAGGTTGGCGTAATGTTTTTTAAGTTTGTATTTGTCCGAAGAGGAATTGGCAAGCATACGTATACTTTCAATAAATTCTCACCAGGCCATTTCATTTATATGGGAGGGGGGGGTTAAGTGTAAAAGGTTAAAATTATGCTCAAA